AAGTTGAGCTTTTAATTTATATTTTTGTTCAATTTCATAAGCACATTTTTTAAATTAAGCTTTGTCAATCAGATATTTAAATGTGTTGAAAATATTTCATTTAAAAATACCCTATTGGGGAGCCTGGGTGGCTTAGTTGGTTAAGCATCTGCCTTCGGCTCAGGTCATGACCCCAGGGTCCTGGGATTGAGCCCTGCATCCCGCCCTCTGCTCAGCAGGGGGCCTGCTTCTCTCTCCCTCTGCCTGCCACTCTGCCTACTTGTGCTCTCTCTGTCAAAAGAATAAAATCTTTGAAAAAAAATTTTAAAAACCCTATGATAAAATTTTTCAAATGAAAAAATGAACTTTTGAAGTTCTCATTTTGGTTAGGTTTTATTTAAGTGGGGTATACCACCAATACTTAAATATGTCTACCTGTTACTTCAGAGGGTTTTGTTGTTTTTTTAAAGCAGGCTCCATACCCAATGTGGGGCTTGGACTCGGGACCCTGAGATTGAGTCCTTTGCTCTACTAGCCAAGTCAGCCAGGCGCCCCACTTCAGAAGTTCTTAAAGATTTCACTTGTGTGGAGTACAGTGAAAGTTATTTTATGTAGGCATTTAGACTTTTTCTGGGAAAAAATTACCTTAACCTGTAAAAAGAAAGAATCTAATTTACAATATTTAGTATCTACAGAAATTTTGAAGGAATATTTTTCTAGTTAACTAGATGTATCAAAGTAATACTGGACATTTCTGGATGTGTATGTGTTAGATTATGTCGGTGTTTCCTACAGTATATCTCAAGTTTAAGGGAAATCAGAGAGTATAAAATTTAGATCATTAATCATGGTGTAAATTAACATCTTCAACTCCTGAACTAATGAAGGGTCTTAAAATTTCCTAAAATTACGGGAACTCTAAAAAGCTCCTGCTTAAAAGGAGCTTAGTTTGTTGGGAAAACTTAGAGTAGAATTTAATTTTCTTGATCTCTAGACACTCATTTCTCCTGTCCCCAAACTTGAACATGAATAGTTGTTTTCTTTAAGCACATAATCACCTTGAAATAGTATAATGTTATTATCTCTACTTTGAAGTTAGAGACTGAGAAACAGAAAAGAGTTGAGCTGTTATCCAGGGATACCAAAGATTAGGGACCCCTCCCTTACCTGGCAGCCACTTCTTTGGTAATGGATTCTCCGGTACAGCTGAAAATAAAAAAAAAAAATCACTTAAACAGTCTCTGACCAATCAAAAAAAGTGCCACAAAGTCCACAGTAAAGTCGTGTACAAAACTTCTCGTGGGGAGACCCTCACTCAGAATCTCTGGATTCTTCCTTTAGCATACAATTCCATTTTTGAACACCTGGTTTCCCAGCTCAATGCAGATTAGAAGCAAAAATTAGAAGGGGATGGGGCACCTGGGTAGCTCAGTCAGTTAAGCATCTGCCTTGGGCTCAGCTCATGATCCCAGGGTCCTGGGATCAAGCTTTGTGTTGGACTTCCTGCTCCGAGGGGAGCCTGCTTCTCCCTCTCCCTCTGCCTGCCACTCCCCGTTCTTGGGCTGGCGCATGTGTGCGTGCGCTCTCTCTCAAATTTAATAAATAAAATCTTTAAAAAAAAATTAGAAGGGGATGAGGAGAGAAGCTTTTAAAGGGAGGCACATGGCCAACTGTAAGAAGTAACCAATTAAAATGACCACTTAAATTGAGGAAGGAGATTCAAACTGTAAAACAGACATTCCAAGCATGATAGCCTAGGGTCCTGTAGTGTGAAGACAAATAAATTCCCTGCAAATAAATGTCCCTCCAGGGCATTACTATATTAAAATGTAGTGTAATATTTGAGCATAATTACTCTGAGTCAGTAAGAAAGGGAAAATTTTATATCCTTTGTTTAAGAAGGTATTTTCAAGGGAAAGATTACTGAAATGGCAAGGCTTAGCCTATAATGTACTTATTTACAAGAAGCTTTTGAAATGGAAATTCAAAAATAATTAAAATACTTTCAGAAGTTCAGCACTAAAAGAGAAGCTTCGTCTCTCTTGAAATTTTATATATAGAACATTTCATTGTTTTATTCCCTAGCAGTGCCAGATCAATTAGGTGTTAATTGTAGTGGTAAAAGATCAGGATTCAGAGCTTTTGACTTAATCAGTCTAGTCCAGCCCAAGAAGCAGCACTAATTGCCTCTACTTTGGTGTTCATTCATCGCACCAATTAGGTAGGATATTTTCATAATCATCATCTTTTAAGACCTTACCCAGAAAGGAGGCAATATTGCAAAGTATTTTAGAGAGTGGGCTCTTAGCATCAGACTGCCTGGGGTCTAATTCTGGCCCTACTATTTATTAGCAGTGCAATTTAAATGACCTAATCTGACCCAAGCCTCAATTGTTTTGTTGTGTAAAATAGGGACGGTAATAAAACTACCTCATAGGAAAGTTGTGAGGACAAAAGAAGCTAAAACAAGTCAGGTCTTAGCAAGGTTTTGGTCACATGCTTAATAAATGATGGCCATTGTTTTATTATTATTACAGTGCCCCATTAGGAACATTTCCTGTGGGAATACTAAATAATGATTTACTGTTTGTTAGGGTGAAACGAATTGTTCTTTTCTCATCTTGGTGCATGATACAAATCATTTTAGCCAACTTCACAAATTACAAATGGGCTTTCACTTTTTATTAGATGCCAATGTTCTATAAGTGGTTCAAAAAATGAATCACAAAAGAATTCTGGTGTTACAGGCTACCCTGGTAAGGACAATCTTAGGCTTGATTAGCCTAGAAGAAGGTATAGTAGTCTGAAACGTTTTACTGCCTACCAAGACCATAACAACTTCGTAACATTTAAAATATATTTCAAACATGAGTGTCTTTTGTTACTAGTTTTTTGTTTAATGGCATCACAGAACGTAAGCCAGATCCCATTTTAATCACCAGGTCAATATAATCTGACTTTTTTCACATTCCCTGTTGGTAAGTGGGCTGGAGTTTGACAGCCTGTAGGGTATCTTTTCTGTGTTCAGAAATTGGTCTCAGGCTCCCCACTGCTGAGAAACTGCCAAAGTATCTTGGAGAAACTTGCTGAAGCTCATCATTTTTGAGTTTCGATGAAGCAATTTAATGCTGCTGAAGAAACTCCCACTTACTCTGCGTGCCCCATGGCTCTCACTTAATCCTTACAGAAGTTCTGTGAAGTAGAGTGCTTTTACCCTTTTACAGAGGAGATTGAGGCTTGGAGAAATTAAATGATTTGATCAAGATCACATGTAGAGTAAATGGTATAAAGGCTATTTAAGCAGGGACCATATGCTTGAAAGCTCTTGCTCTTTTCACTATGTCCCCATGGCTCTCAAAAGGAAGTAATAAATTACTCTTTATAGTTTGTACATGGCTATATGTAAAGTCCTGTCAGAATCAATCTGGAATATTTCCATGTGTGTCAACAATTGGCCTGTAATTTAGATCCTGTGAATCAACGGCCAGAAAGTGTTCTTTATGAAATCTGTTACATAACAGATAAATGTGGCTCCCCATTCTGGTTTTTTTTTTTTTTCTTTGACAGCTAAAAAAACCTGGTCAGATTTCTCAAAGTGAGGGTCATGGGGAAGGCAGATTTTCTTTTTCTTCCCTTCTTTACCTCATATGGGGCTTAAGTTTTTTTAAATCTTATTTCATCTTGCTGCTACACCTTTGAGGCAGGTAATTTTTTTTTTCCCTAATTGGCATTCACAATATGTGCCACATAGAAATTCAAGCCCCTTCAAGGTGTTTTTGTTTTTATTTTTGTTCTTTTGATTGCACTTATATTGTTTTAGACTCCTTTGTGTGGAATCTTTTTTTTTCTTTTTTTTAAGATTTATTTATTTGAGAGAGAGTGTGCTTGAATGAGCAGGGGGAGGGACAGAGGGAGAAGGAGAGAAGCAGACTCCCCACTGAGGGTGGAGCCCAATGCGGGACTTGATTTCACCACCCTGAGATAAAATCAAGAGTCTGAGGCTTAACCAACTGAGCCAACCAAGCACCCCTCTTTTTTCCTTTTTTTAAAAATCAGAATAGTGTTGGTCCTAATTACCTCTGGATAAAGAGGATTTTGTTACATAGCAGTATAGGTTTGCCAGGGAAGTCAAATAATTGGGAATATATTTTTCATTTCTGGAAATTGTCCTTTGTTAACATGAAGTAATATTGTCCAGGTACTACAATTAAATGGTAGGCACTATTTTATATAGCTACTGGGGTTTTTTTTGTTTGTTTTGATTTTTGTTTTAAAATTTACTTATTTTTAGAGAGAGAAAGAGAGCACATGACCTGGGAGGGGAGGGGCGAAGGGAGAGGGAGAGAGAGAATCTTAAGCAGGCTCCACACCCAATGTGAAGCCCTACTGGGAGCTCGATCTCAGGAACCTGAGATCATGACCTGAGCTGAAGTCAAGAGTTGGAAGCTTAACCGACTGAGCCCCCAGGCGCCCCTAGAAAATTTATTTTAAATTTATCATGGGGGCACCTGGGTGGCTCAGTTGTTAAGTGTCTGCCTTTTGCTCGGGTCATGATCCCAGGGTTCTGGGATCGAGCCCCACATCGGGCTCCCTGCTCAGTGGAAGCCGACTTCTCCCTCTCCTGCTTCTCCCTCTCCTGCTTCTCCCCCTGCTTGTGTTCCCTCTCTCACTGTGTCTCTGTCTGTCAAATAAATTTTTAAAAAAATCTTAAAAAAGAAATTTATCATGGAGGAGCACAAAATTTTATTTACAAGGATGCTTGCTAGAGTATTATACATCATAAGTACCTGGGAAAACAAAAGGTACATACTCAGATCTCTAGATTGTAGGATTATGGGTCACTTGTATTTTCTTCTCCACTTTTTTATGTTTTCTACACTTTCTGTGTGCACAGAAGACTTTTTTCAATCACAAACTATATAAATGTTTTTTTAATGTGGGCTTCTCTTTAATAAATGTATAGAAACATTTCCCTTCGTGCTTCCACTATTCAACACCTCCTTCCTTTTATTTCTGTACAGGTCTCCAGGAAAGGTTGGGATTTCAACATTAAAGGTAAGTTGTGTTTTCTGAGAGTTATATTTCTATAAGTTGTGTACACTTCTCATTCATTTTACTGTTTTATGTAAATCTTCATTTTCTTGCTTTTGCTGTTACTTATTTTTTGCTAAATAATATTGTCCCTGTATCTTACTAGGTGTGATTGGGTACTCTAGAAATAACAAATATTGTGCTATAAGGAAGGGACTGTAAATTTTTTAGATTTCCACTAATTTTGTAATTTTGGAATAGAAGAATACTATAAAATACATGTGTATGTTAATTGAAAAAATAATACTTGCATGACAAAAATGTGGAATAACCAAAACACTTGTATGAGCACATGCTTTGGTGTCATCGCTCTATATAAAAATCAATCCCAGCCTTAGCTCCAAGCAAAGGAGTTCAGTATTGAGACATTATGCCAGTGAGAGCTATTTTAAGTCCAAGAATTTCACCAAACAGAACTATTTACATCAAATATACACTGTATGTGTGTGTATGAGTATGTCTGTATATAATGTATGTATAATCTCAAACGTGCTGTATTTTTTTTTTTTTTTTTTTAGTACCAGTGTTCCTACCTTCTATTTATACACATTGGATACTGATCTCTTTGTTAAATTGTGGTATGTTCTTATGGCATAGTCTACAGCAGTAGATATGAATGGATTGGTTATATGCAATGACATAGATGAATTTGAGCACCATAGTGTTGAGTAGGAGAAAAGTCACAGTAAGATACATACAGTAAGATTCCATTTATATTAAGTTCAAAAACATGAAAAAGGAAAGAATATGTTGTTTAGAGATAGAAACACAGTAAAACTATAAAGAATAGCAAGGGAATGATAAACACAAAATTCAAGGTATCCATCATCTCGGAGAAAGAATGTAATGAAAATGGAGAAGGCTATGCAAGAGATTGAAAGCTAATGGTAATGTTCTTTTTCTTAAACTGAGTGCTTAAGAAAGGTTATATCATAATTCTTCATTCCTTGTAATTTTATAAAAGTTCTCGTATTTACTCTATTTGATAAAAACAATTTTTAAAAATAATGCATTGACATGGTTTGGACATGGTTAAAATTTGCTCAGTACAAAAAGTAGATGGTTGAAAACGTAGCTTCCCTCTCGTTCCTCATCCTCCACCTCCCAATCCCCATATCCAGAGACAATTGCTGTTTTTGCCTGTAGGTTTTAAAAGCCACTTAGCTCTAAGATATTTATAGGTTATAAGAAAATAAATTTGTGAAATTTATTTTATCTCTAAATATAGATTGTGCTTAACTTGAATAAAATTAGTTAGAAAATATACATACTTAGTAAATAAACACAAAATTGGATATTGTTCTTTTTTACTTTTTATTTTGAAATAATTACAGATTACAAGAAGCTGCAAACGTAGTACAGAGAACTCCCATGTATCCGTCATCCATTTCACCCAGTGGTTATATCTTAATTATAGTACAATATCAAAACCAGAAATTTGACATTGGTACAATATGTTTATGGTTTTGCTTCAGTTTATTACATATATATATTTGTGTAACTGCCACCACAAGATGCAGATCTTTTTCATCACCGCAAAGGTCTCCCTTGTGCTACCCTTTTATAAAGTCACACCCACGCCCTCCCTCACATCATCCCTAACCCCAGGCAGCCACTAAGCTGTTTTGCATTTCTGTAATGTCATTTGAGAATATCCCATAAATGCAGTCATATAGTGTGTGACCTTTTGAGACTGGCCCAAAGGATTGAGATCCAAATTGTTGCATGTATCAATGGTTTATTCCTTTTTATTATTAAATAGTAGCCTATGGTATTCAGACTATGTACTCAGACCATTGAGTACATATCATGTATAACAGCATATCTATTGATATTAAGCAATCCAAAGAAAAGTTTGGTATTGTCCTGAGTTTATGATTTTACAGTCTCACAGAAGAGGGATGTATATGAGATATTTGTGTTTGTAGAACAGAATAGACTTCAAGTGCTCCAAGGAGTTTGGAGGAGGAAGGGGGAGATAGAACAACAGGAGAGCGTAGGTACCTGGAATAGCAGAGAAAAGTTTCAGGGAGGAGGTAGAACTTGTGTTGGGCTTTGAAAACTGGGAGAGATCTGCATAGGCAGATAGAGAAAAATCCGGAAAGCATTGTATGTTAGGCAATAGTATCAGCTCATTAATATGCAAAGGTATAGAATTTGCTGGGAGCATTGAAAGACTTGTGTGACCTATGTAAATGTTTTAGCAGTGAAATGATGGAAAAGTAAAGTTGGGCCAGATTTCAGTGAACCTCGAATGTCAGCTTAAGAACTCTGGGCTTTGGGACACCTGGGTGGCTCAGTCGGTTAAGCTTCGGACACTCGGTTTCTGTTCAGGTCATGATCTTAGGGTTGTGGGATTGAGCCCCACGGGCTCTGCCTGGAGTCATCTTGTCCCTCTCTCTCCCCTGCCCCCCACTTTCCTATAAATAAATAAATAAAATCTTTAAAAAAAGAACTCTGGGCTTTAAAATTTTGAAGCAAGACATTTTAAAAGTCAATTTTTATATGTCTTAACAGTTGTGCTCCAGAGTTTTTTTGCTGGGGAATTAACAACAGCTAAGTGGTGGAAGGGTGGGAAGTAGTTTGGAAGAAAGACTAAGTGCAGAGAGAACTGTTAAGAGGCAGTTAGAATGTCAAGACTTGAGACTTGGACAAAGGGAATGTGTTGATAGGAATCGATGGACGGACGTGACCACTATTTAAAAGTTGTTTCTTGGTGGTTTTTTCTTTTCCTCTTCTCAGCAAAAGAGAGTAGGGGTCACATCTCTAAAACGTTTTTTAAAATTTCACTTTTGGGGCACCTGGCTGCTTCAGTCCGAAGAGCATGCAACTCTTATTTGATCTAAGAGTCATGAGTTTGAGCCCCATGTTGGGGGTAGAGATTACCAAAAAATAAAAACAATAAATAAACTTTAAAAAGTAAATAAGTAAATATATAAAATTTCACTTTAGTCATTGTGAATAACTTTCCCTTCCTCACTAGTAAAAACTAGAAGTGACCTGAATTTTTTAATAACTGAATTTTTAGCTTTAGTAGATAATAATGAAAATTTCCTAGAGTGTAGATTACTTTTTTTTTTTTTTGAAGATTTCATTTATTTATTTGACACACAGGGTACAAGCAGGGGGAGCAGCCGAGGGAGAGGGAGAAGCACGCTCTCTGCTGAGCAGGGAGCCGGTTGTGGGACTTGATCCGTAGACCCTCGGATCATGACCTGAGCCCAAGGTAGATACTTAACCGACAGAGCCACCCAGGCACCCCAAGTGTAGATTACTTTTGTACAAATTATTTGTGAAAATGATTTTTTTTGTTGGGTGTGCTTATTAAAATTAAAAAGCTCAATTTGTAGAACTGAATACTATGAGAAGGGTACAAGCAGCTCTCTAATATCCAACAGAGATGGAGGGAAACAGTGGAGTGAATTGCTAGAAATTGAATGATCCTACCATCTCTCTCTTTTTTTTTTAAAGGTTTTGTTTATTTGAGAGAGTACATGAGCAGTGGGGAGAGGGGGAGGAGGAGAGGGACAGAGGGGGAGGGAGAAGCAGACTCCCCATTGAACAGGGAGCCCGATGCGGCTCGATCCCTGGACCCTGAGATTATGACCTGAGCTGAAGGCAGACGCTGAACTGACTGAGCCACCCAGGCGCCCCCCGCTACCATACCTCTTAAGGAAGTGTATTTCTGAGGTTGTGATAGGCATGGGTTAAAGAAATGGCCTGATGGTGGGAAGCTGGGATTTGGTAGGCCCCGTGCTTTAATAATGCGGCAGCCCATCTCCAAAAGGAGGTAATAAATGAGGAGTGTCTGAAGTCTGAGTTGGTGTTGGTTGTCTGCAGGCACATTCTTGGCTTCCATTGCTTTACCTCCACAGCCTGATCAAGGTGCTAGGGGAAGGACTTGGACCTTAGACATCACTGAGAGAGAATCATAGATGACTATATATGCACTAAATCAGGTTTTACTAAGAAACCTTCTGATTAACTTCTCTAGAGATTAGATCCTCTGGTAGGTGCCCATATCGCCCCATTAAGCTTGTGACTTAACCACAGTTTACCTTGTAGAGGTTGATACCTTTCAAAGGTTCAAAGTCCAAGAGAGTTTTGTTAAAGCTACATAAAATAGAAGTCTAACCACTGCTTCCAGTTTTGATCAGTGTGAGAATGTTAATCTGTGATGGTTGTAAGTACTTAATTCAAACAAATTAAATTGAGGTACAGGAATTATTAGTGTTATTAGTGCTTAGGTTAATTTCGGGAACTAATGGAATTAATATTGGAATTAATATTGTATAGTGCTTCTGATTTTCCTACTAATGAACAGTTATTGGAGGATATTTGGATAAATATAGTTAATTCGTAAGATAGTTGAAGGTGTTTCTCTAATATGCATTAACTGTACTTAATGACCATCAGCCTTTCAAGTATTCTCTGTCCTTCATCTTGTCAAGATTATCTTACTAATTGGTTTTGATTAGAGTCCTTTTTCTTTTAGTTTAAAACCAGGATTTGATTAAAAATAAATAAACTTAAGATATGTGTATTTACTGAAGAAGAGCCAGAGCTATGCATTATTCAACATTCATTGAGAAATGATTACTTTTGCCTGGTACTCTTTTAGGTGTACTGGGTACATAGTGGTAGACAGAACAAAGCCCTTGCTCTCATGGAGCTTACATTCTAGCGGGGCAGGGAAGAGACAAAAATATAAGCAAGTAGACAGGGTCGTTTCAGATGGAGATAAGTACAGTGAAGAAACAGATAATGTGATAGACAGTTAAGCAAGTAAGGCTATTTTAAGGTGGTCAGGGAAGGTTTTTCTAATGTGATAACACTTGAGCTATCACCCTAAGGATGGTAAAGAACCATCCAATTGGCCAAAGTGTGATTGTGGGGTTGTGGTGGACAAGGGAGGTGAGAAATAGAGAAGATGTCAAAGATGTAGGCCCTCAGAGCCAGCCTTCACTCGCTTGCTTCTCGGTGCCTGCTCCCGGTGTCCCTGAGGGCGTGCGGGCCAGAGGCAGCCCCACAGAGTCGCAGGCGGAGGGGAAGCAGGTGTGCAGGTCTTAAGTGTCGCGGCGGCGCACTCTTCGGCGAGAATCGGGAGGAGGAGGAGACTGCAAGGATAGGCCCAGGAGCAATGGCGTCCAAAGAGGAACAAGCAGTAAAAAATCTCAACGTGGAGAACGCCAAACAGAAAAATGAAAAAAAGGATGAAAAGGAGCAAGTTGCTAATAAAGGAGAGCCCTTGGCCCTCCCTTTGGAAGCTGGTGAATATTGTGTGCCTAGAGTAAATCGTAGGCGGTTCCGTGTTAGGCAGCCCATCTTGCAGTATAGGTGGGACCTGATTCAGAGGCTTGGAGAACCACAGGCAAGGATGAGAGAGAATATGGAAAGGATTGGGGATGAGATGAGACAGCTGAGGGAAAAGCAATTCAGTCATAGTCTGCGGGCAGTTAGCACTGACCCGCCTCACCATGACCATCATGATGAGTTTTGCCTTATGCCTTGAATCTTGATGTTTTCCCTGAAGTTAATAGGAAGACACACCTGCTTCCTAAACGTAATGTTCTCAACGTACATTTGTTGTAAACCTTTTGGTGTTAATGTCTCTTGTGGGTCTCCTATGACCAGCTTCTAATTGAATGTTGTATTTTGACCCAAAATGTAAGATTCTGTCAGCAGGGGAGTTTTACCCTATTGCATGGCAAGATGTTCATTATATATTGTGACGTTAATAAAGCAGTTTAAAAGACAAAAAAAAAAAAAGATGTAGGCCCTCATGGGTTGTGGTAGAGTTTGGATTTTACCTGACACTTAAAATTCCATGAAACAACTTTTCAGCTTGAAGAGATCGGAAGTTCTACAGAAATTTCTCTAGCACATTAAGTCTTCAGCATTATATTGATCTGGAGTAATTTTATCACAGCACCTATCATGATCATATCCTAACATTTGTATAAGTGCTACCTTGATACTTACATACATCGTTATGTGCCTTAGGTTGCTTATCTGTCAGAAGTGGTTATTGTGACCTTTAACTCTGTGATGTGTACGAAAAATTATGAAAAGTTTTTTTTCTCAGTATCATTACTAGCATTCAAATTGTTATACTTCTGTAAACATAATGACAATTTAGGATGGAGGTGAATACTATGTTTACATTTGCAAATGTATAATTGTCTTATTTTACCAGAATTTTTTTTTCCAACAGAAAAGCCGTATCCGTTACTCCCTTCTCTAACCTCCCAAATATATATATATATGTACGTATGTGTATATGAATGTATACGTAGATATATATGTATTTTTGGTGGGTTTAATTTCTTCTGTTACTGTTTGGGGGACTTTAACTTCTGCTGTCTTGATTCCTTTCATCTAAAGCATGTAGCGTTTTTAAGAAAACTATTCTCTGAATGTGGTTTTCTGCATTATGTACTTTTATATTTATGCATATTTATGGAGCAATATTCTGAGAAAAATAGCATTTCTGATTCAACCGTTTGCTTTAAATCCTTCATCTTTTTAAGCTACAGAGGTACTTGGTAGTTTTTATCTTCCTGTACAGTTTTTAATGTTAAAAAGATGAGCACATTTATAGGAAAATAATCTATTGCTGTAGAAATATAGAAAATTGCTGACTGGTAACCTTATACAAATCACATTGTCCCACTTTGCATAAAATATCTGGGCATCTTTCCTTAGACAAACATCTAAGCCCTTTATGGGCTTTGCTTTATTAATGCTATGTTTTCTAATTTGTACCCATCTTAAACAATTTTAAAGAAAAGATGTCATCATTTGATCTCTTTTTCTTTTTAATATAGGAAACTGAGAATACTGCACACAAAGTTGGAAATGAGTCTCCTGTACAAGAATTGAAACAAGATGTGTCTAAAAAGGTTGGTAAGATATTAAAAAAATAAATAAATAAAATGTCAGCATTAGTTTAACAGATGTCATATATATGTATATCATGTATTTAAAGTGAAAAATTTTCTATATTCTTTTAGTATAGTGCTTTGTACTTGGTGGATGTTCAATAAATGTTCCTTGAATCTTGAGTTTGAGATTGAAGACACATCAGGCTTTTTAGAGGTCATTTCGTAAGCAAACTAATCCATAATTGTTCCTTGAAACAGTATTTTGAAAAAATGTTTTGTAATGTATTTTTATTTTTTATGCTTGTATTTTTATTAGAATAAGCTGTAGCTATTCTTGAAGTTACTACCGAGAGTTAAAGGTATTGAAAAGCTCAGCGCAGCAAATTCAGATGTCTTTAGGAGTTAGAGGTTACAAGAAGTCATTACTCTGAAAGTGCCTTTGATACCTTTTAAAGAATTGATACTTTAAAGCTTCAGAGTTTGGTTTACTAGAAGAGACTGAGCACAAGATAAAAATTTTGACAAAGGGTAGTTCACAGTATCAGGATAAAACCCAAGGAGAAAGGATGCTGCGTGTTCATTCAGTTATACTACTTGTGAGTATTTTCTGTGCCCTTGGCCCTGTTCTAGCCAGTGGGTTTCTGGAGACCAGCAACATGACACATTCTCTATCCCAGAGTTTCTCAATATTGACACTTTGGGCTAAATAATTTTTTGTTGCAGAGGGAAGGAGAGACTTTTCTGTGCATTGTAGGATATTTAGCAGCGTCCCTGGCTTCTACCCACTAGATGTCAATAGATTCCTCCCTACCCGCACACTATCATGACAACTAAAAATGTCTTACAGACATCACCAAATGTCTGGGGAGGAGTGCTGGGCAAAATCGCCCTCGATAAAGATCCATTGTTCTACCCTTATGGAATTTATAAATTTAATGGACTCCATATTTTAAGTGTTATTTTAGTTTAGTTTATTAGAGAGGGAGGGAGAAAGAGGGGGGAGGAGCAGAGAGAAGAGAGAAAATCAAGCAGACTCCACGCCGAGCATGGAGCCCGATTCCACAACCCTGAGATCATGATCTGGGCCAAAATCAAGAGTCCGATGCCAAGGGATGCCTGGGTGGCTCAGTTGGTTAAGCATCTGCCTTCGGCTCAGGTCATGATCCCAGGGTCCTGGGATTGGGTCCCACATCGGGCTCCTTGCTCGGCAGGGAGCCTGCTTCTCCCTCTGCCTGCCACTCCCCCTTCTGTTCTCTCTCTCTCTCCTTCTGTGACAAATAAATAAATAAAATCTTAAAAAAAAAAAAAAAGTCCAATGCTGAACCCAGGCGCCCCAATGAACTCTCTCACTATATATATGTTTTTAAAGATTTTATTTATTTGTTTGAAAGAGTGAATGAGTGAGCACCAGCGGGAAGGAGGAGCAGGCAGAGCGAGAAGCAGGCTTCCTGCTGAGCAAGGAGCCCCATGCAGAACTCAATCCCAGGACTCTGGGATCATGACCTGAGCTGAAGGCAAACGCTTGACTGAGCCACCCAGGCGCCCCTGGACTCTATATTTTAATATTTTTTTTTTTTTTTTTTAAAGATTTTATTTATTTATTTATTTGAGAGAGAGAGAGAGAGAAACAGCATGAGAGGGGAAAGGGTCAGAGGGAGAAGCAGGCTCCCCGCTGAGCCGGGAGCCCGATGTGGGACTCGATCCCAGGACTCCGGGATCATGACCTGAGCCGAAGGCAGTCGCTTAACCAACTGAGCCACCCAGGCGCCCCTCTATATTTTAATATTGATCAACTTTTTTCCCTCAGAAGGAATTTTTGGGGGAGAAATGGTATTCTGTATCAGTATAAATAAGATAACAAAAGTAATGCCATCTTTTTTTTCTTTTTAAATCAGAAGTTGCCCACAGTTCTACACTGTCAGAAACAGCTGTCTTAATTTTTCAGAATTCCTTTCTGGGTCTCAGCCATTTGCATGCATTCTTGTTTTGTTTTGGTTTTCTTTGCCTAATAATAGTGTAGATAGAATGCTATATTTTACTTTTTTCTCTTACCATTATTAGTTCTCATCATATTTCTATACAATTTCAATACTTAGTTTTCATTTGATGTGTCAGTTTCTATCAAGCAAGTATATTACAATGCATCTAGCCATTTTTATTGTTGAAAACTTGAAATGTTTCTATTTTTTTCCACTAGAGTTTTCCTTTTTAAGAAATTTTTCTTAGGGTAAGTAATAGTGGCTAAAAATGATTTTTAAGGAGACTTTAGAAACTGAAAAAATAGTAAACATTATGGAGCAGTTGGTTGAAGCTTAAGACTAGGTCTCACTTTTTAAGTTCTAGTCTTTTTAGTTGATTTAAGTATCACATATGAATGAGATAAAGGCTGTGGGGATATACGCTGCTCCAGGCAGGACACAGTCCCTGTCCCCAGGAGCTTATGTTGTAGTAGAGGAAATTAGTTAAACACAAAACTGAATGTAAAGTGTTCATATACTTACAAACTATTATAAGAACAGAAAGGGAGACTTGACTTATGGCTTGAGGATAGGAATGGGGAAGACCTCATGGAGGAAGTAACATCTGAGCTGGTTCTTGATGAATGGATAAGATTTGGACAGGGAAAGATGAGAGTTGAAAGGCATAACCAAAGGCATGGAGAAGAGAGATGTGCAGACTGGTTGCAAATCAGACTAGAGCCCAAAGTTAGGGCCAAACTATGGGAATGCCTCTTATGTCATACTAAAACATCTGGTTTCTATTTTACAGTCACTGGAAGATCAGTGAGTTTTTTGAAGGAGGGAGGCGACGTGAAGCTAACAGTTGCTTTAGCATGTTCATCTCTATGTTGGTCTTGATTTGCACTGTTCTGTTGATCTTTCCCTGTTTGCTACCTCCTGAAACCCAGGGGGGGAAAAAAAATACAGGGTTAGGTACTATACGTAGGTGCTATGAGGGTGTATCAAGAGGGAGAAAATATGGGCCTTGTGTTTCAAAAGCTAATTATCTGCTATGGAGAAAGTATTTATATAGAGCTAGCCCATATACTACTTTGTGTTTATATTATAGTTCATACTGTAGTGAATGGTAAGACTGATAGGAGTTCAGTGAAAGGATAAGGGATTGGGGAAGACTTGTGATTTTTAACCTCATTTTAATCCCTCTCTGGCATTAGCCTTTCCATTATGCATAGTGATTATTTCAGACCTTTACAGTCACTTCATGCTCACTGTGCCCACATGTATCCTGCTTGCTTTCAGCAGATAACCTTGTTTCTCACTGCACATAGACATTAGAGACTAAGAAGCCTGTATTCACTCCTTTTCATCTGCTTTCACTTCCCTTACCTGCAAATTTGTTTTCATCTTTTGCCTTTTTTCAAGTCTGAGAACTTAGTATTACTTTTTTTCCCTGTCCAAAGTAGCATGGTATAATATACAAAACACTGGATTTCTGAGAAAAACCTGGATTTCAATTTTGACTTTGTAGTTAACTAGCTGTGGGACCTTGGACAAAATTTTTTTTTCTTGGACAAAATTCTTAATGCCTTTACCTCAGATTCTTGTTTCTGTAGAAGGGAGATAATCTAGCTACCTCAAGGCCTGTGTGATGATTAAATAGAAAATATGTGTACTGGCCTAATTCTTTTCCTCTCCAGAACTTTGTTATCTTACTTTCTATTGGCTCCTTCCCCTCAGCTTGTAAAAATGCTGGCTCACTTTCTTGCAGCCTCTTCCATTTGTAGCCAAGCTTTTTGAAAACATAGATTGTGCTGGCTATCTCTATGTTGTCACCTCTTACTCATTCTTAAACCCACTGGCTTCTGTTATCACTAAGGTTCTCAGTGCTCAGTAACCACCGAATTGACAAAGTAGGTGGATTCTAGTTAATATTCCTGTGCTAAAAGTGTGATTAAAACTAAGATAAGGGGTGCCTGGGTGACTCAGTTGGTTAAGCATCTGTTTTCCACTCAGGTGGTCCTGGGATCCAGCCCCATGTCCTGCTCCCTGCTCAGTGGGGAGCCTGCTTCTCCCTCTCCCTCTGCCACTCCCCCCACCCCCTTGCCTCCTGCTTATGCTCTCTCTCTTTATCAGATAAATTAAATCTTTTTTTTTTTTTTAAGATTTTATTTATTTATTTGACAGAGAGAGACACAGCGAGAGAAGGGACACAAGCAGGGGGAGTGAGAGAGGGAGAAGCAGGCTTCCCGCTGAGCAGGGAGCCTGATGCGGGCCTCCATCCCAGGACCCAGGGATCACGACCCGAGCCGAAGGCAGACGCTTAACGACTGAGCCACCCAGGTGCCCCAAATAAATTAAATCTTAAAAAAAAAGAGACTAGGCTAAAAATTTGAAGGTTGAGAAAAATCATTATGTGGACTATGCTGGGAAATCAGGGAGGAGTATCCCTGAGCAGCAGTCATGTCCAGTTCAAGTCAGCATGAATTTGTGGTAAGCCCAATCAGGATGGCTGTGTGACACGTTCTGTTAACTTTCTGGAGCCAAGGAATTGAGAAAGCAGAAGTCATCCATGGTTGGGCATGGTGGAAAGATAAGTGGACTGGGAGATTTTATGTGGTAATAATGACAGTACTAGGTAGAAAATACCTTTCTTCTAAATGTTAGTAGAAGATATAGAAACCCCATCTGTATTTTTCAGCTACAGAAAAGAAATAAAACAGGGAAAAGGCAAGGTGAGCTGAGTGTTTGAACTCTCTTCATGGTCCTGCCATTTCTCTGAATAGTGGAGTATTAGGTGTAGTTTGTTTAAGAATGCTAATCTTCCTGCATCTGCTGGCTTTTTCTGTCTTAGGCTTGAGTTCAGAACTAAACAATCCGAATTCTTGTGCTAGGTGGTTTTGATTCTCATGGTTATATTAACTAGGCCCAAAGCAGTAGGTTGTTACTGTAACTAACTTGGCATAAGTATGTAAATGAACAATGACATGAAGAGTCTGAATGTAAATTTAGGTCTGAACTTTATTTTACAGGGTTGGTTGAACTTTTGTAATTATACATACTAACAGATCCCCTATTATAATGGTTAAGAGTTCAGATTCTGGAACCAACTCCCAGGATTTTTGCCAACTTATCACTTACTAGCTCTTTGTCCTTGGACAAATCACTTGATCCCTCTATACCTTTGTTCCTTCATTTGTGTAATGATGATATTAAGAGTGCTGTCTCATGGTTATTGTAAAGATTAAAAATGTAAAGTGTTAAGAACATTCCCTGGCACGTAGTAAGTACTATGTAAATGATTAGCTGTTATGTTCGTGTAAATAGCCTCATTTTTTAAAAAACTGCTTTTTAACCTTTCATCAGATTATTGAAAGCATTATTGAGGAGAGTCAGAAAGTACTACAGCTGGAAGATGACTCATCGGATTCCAAAGGAAAGGGACACTCTGACCAGGCTACTGGCAGTTCTCTTGTAGCTGGAACAGATCTTAGCAATATACCTGGACTGTTAGCCATAGATCGGGTACTACAGGAAGATTCCAAAAAGGCAGAGAGTCAGAATGCAATTGAAGAAACTGAATTAGAATCTAAAAGATGTTTTCCTTCTGATGACACCTATGAGAAGTCAGTAGATGAAATCACTAAGTTAACTGAAATAAGTTCAACTGAGCAGCATAATGTGCCTGAAACTGAAACAGAAGTATTGAACAAAGAAGCCATGGAAGTCAAAGGAAGTGATGTTCTAGAACCTGTGTCCTCAAACTCTTTATCTACTAAAGATTTTGCTGCCATGGAAGAAGTGGCTCCCGCCAAACCCCCAAGACAGCTTACTCCAGAACCTGACATTGTGGCTAGTACAAAGAAGCCTGTTCCAGCACGCCCTCCCCCTCCAACTAATTTCCCACCTCCTAGGCCCCCGCCTCCATCTCGACCTGCTCCACCACCAAGAAAAAAGAAAAGTGAATTGGAGTTTGAGGCCCTTAAAACGCCTGATCTAGACGGCAAGTATTTAACTGAGAAATAACTTTTTGTGAAGAGATTTTGGAGTTGAAACTATTTGACTTTCTGGTTTTGTTTCAGTTTATGCTGTATACAACCACATCGATGACCATGACCAAGTTATAGAAGTTATTTTAGTAATAAAAAGTGAAAATGTTTATATTGGTAGTAAGTTACTATGTTCGAACATTTTAGTAGACTTCAAACTTTCAAATCTGTTACCATTGGAAACTTAAGATCTGAATTCAAGATGTAGATCTCTTCGTGTATCAGTTGTATAGCTTTGAGGAATTGAAATAACTTGTTTGAACCCTGGTTTCTCCGTATATAAAATGAGTAATAAAACCACTTTCTCATGGGATTGTTGTAAGAATCAGACAAAGGTTAAAGCACTTTTCAAGCTCTATATAAGATCCTATATAAATACTAGTTATTGCCATTATCATCATCACCATTATTATTATCATCATCGTCATTGCAGTTCCCAAAGAGAATATTACATCTGATACTCTCCTAAGTACGAACATGGCTTCAGAGAATACAGTCAAGGATTCTCAGCCTTCTCTTGACTTGGCAAGTGCTACCAGTGGAGATAAAGTAGTTACTGCCCAGGTTGGTGAATTCATGTTATATTTGATAGAGGCTTTAACAACTTTCTGTAGCTGTCTGGTTTGTTGCTTGTTGAACCTTCTTCTCCAGGCAGAATATTTCCTTGTCCTTAAAACCTGGCCTTACATCCCTTTTTTAGCTCTGCTACTATATAGCTAGGTGATTCTAACAAACTATTTAATATCTAAGTTTCAGACTTCCCATTGATAAAATGAGGGGAAAACCTTCCTTGGAGGTATCTTGCAAGGATGAAATGAGCAAAAGTATGCCAAGTACCTGGCATGCAGTAGGCAATCAAAAAAAATGAAAGATGCCGCTATTTGTAATATTATTATTATGTTAATAAACATCAACTACAGTCTTCATTTACCTTACCTATGGTGGTCAAAACTGAGGACTTTTATTTATAATTTCCTTTACTAATCATGAAAAAAACCCTTCCTATACTAGGCTATATATCCATATATGAGGCAATAGAAAACACGTGATAGCAGGAATTTTTACCATAGCCCAGTTTCTGGGACTCAAGGCTTACTTACACGGGAGCAGTGGTAGGGACAGGTTAGCAGACTGGGAGATAAGGCCCTTCAGTCTTGTCATAGCCTTAGAGCAGAGACTGGCAGTAGCCTGTTTATCTAGAGACCCTGAGCTAAGAGTGGTCTTTACATTTTTAAAGGATATAAGGAAAAGAAAAAAAAAAGAATATGTGACAGCCAGTATATGTGAAGCAGAAAGCCTAAAACATTTACTCTCTGGCTCTTTATAGTAAAAGTTTGCCAACCCCTGCCTTCGAGATAAGCACAAGTATAGCCCTGATTAATGGCACTCTTAGTGCTGGCACTCTGCTAATAGAGAACTGCTTTTGGGTCACGTTCAAGTAGAACATTTCTTTGCTTTCAAGACTAAGACATTATTTCATGGGCAGCAATGGTTTTGATACCTAATGTTTTTCAGCATGCTGGGAATAATAAAGGACCAAAATGGAGTGTTTCATTTAAATTTTCAGTAGGCTCCATTATGTGAATTATGGGATTCTTTAGAACTGTGTGTGGTAATAAATAATTGAGTGTTTATAGCAATTGACTCAGTCTACTTTCTGTTTATAAAATTGTAATTTTAGGAAAATGGAAAAGCACCTGATGGGCAGACCATAGCAGGTGAAGTGATGGGCCCTCAGAGACCTAGATCCAACTCTGGGAGAGAGCTCACTGATGAGGTATAGTTAGATTCTTTTTGTTCTTAACATAAAATATAAAAATCATAATGAGAAGATGAAGAAGCTCTCAAGATGAATGGTGGTAATGGTTGTACAGCATTGTGAGTGTACTTAATACCACTGAACTATACAACTAAAAATATTTTACCATGATTAAAAAAATTTAAGTTTATTGCTGTTAAGCAAAAAGAAGAGAAAATGAAAATTGATGATTTTCTTAGTTTTTAAAAATTTATTTCATTTATTTTTAAGTAAACACTACACCCAGTGTGGGGCTCGAACTCACAACCCTGAAATCAAGAGTTACATGCTGTACTGACTGAGCCAGCCAGGCATCCCAGTTTGGGGGGGTTTTTTTGTTTGTTTGTTTTTGTTTTGTTTTGTTTTTAAAGATTTTATTTAATTATTTATTTGAGAGACAGACAGAGATAGTGACAGAGAACACAAGTGAGGAAGAGAGAGAGAAGCAGGCTCCCCGCTGAGCAGGAAGCCTGACTCAGGACTGGATCCCAGGACCCTGGGATCATGACCTGAGTCAAAGGCAGATGCTTAACTGACTCAGCCACCCAGGCGCCCCAGTTTTTGTTTTTTTAATATGTTGGAGTTTGCCACTCTAACTTAAAATTACCTTTTTATACCATTATGTGGTAGAAGAAATGTATTGAAAACAAAGCCCAAATTTAATAGAAGGTGGGCTTAAAAAGAATTGATGTTATATGTTTTTATACTTGTTAGGTGATGTACAGTGTATGCAGACTCAGTGCTTACTTACCATTAAAATTTAGTATACATTGATTGACCAATTTATTCTGAATAAAGTTTTGAAGCAAAATCTTAGTTTTCATGTCTTTTTTTCTTTTTTTAAGAATTTTTTTTTTTTTTAAGTAATCTCTACATCCAACGTGGTGCTCAAACTGAACCCCAATATCATGAGCCGCATGCTCCACCGACTGAGCCAGCCAGGTGCCCCAGTTTTCGTTTCTTTTAAATGATACATTTTAAACAATTATTGTACTTTGGAAAACAGTATGGCATTTCCTCAAAACATTAGACATTGAGTTACCATGATCCAGCAATTCTACTCCTATGTATACACCAAATAGAAATGAAAATATATGTCCACACAAAAAACGTACACAAGTGGGGTGCCTGGCTGGCTCAGTCAGTTAAGCATCTGCCTTTGGCTCAAGTCATGGTCTCAGGATCCTGCATGGGGCTCCCTGCTCAGCGGGGAGTCTGCTTCTCCCTCTGCCCTTCCCCCTCCCCACCGGTGCTTGTGTGCTCTCTTCTCTCTCTCTCTCTCTCTCTCTCAAATAAATAAAATCTTAAAAAAAAAAAAGTACACAAGTATTCATAATAGCCAAGTGTGGAAACAACACAAATGTTCATCTCCCATGAATGGATAAATGTGGTATATCCAGTCCACATGGACTGTTTTTTGGCAATTAAAAGGAATGAAGTTCTGACACATGCTGCAGTGTGGATGACCCTTGAAAACGTGCTAAACAAAAGAAGCCAATCACAAAAGACCACATACGGGATGATTTGATTTATATGAAATGTCTGTAATAGGCAAACCATAGAGACAAAAAGTAGAATAGTCGTTGCTAGGGGCTGGGAGGAGAGGGGAATGAGGTATGACATTTAATGGGTATGGGGTTTCTTTTTGAGGTAGTGGAAATATTCTAAACTTAAAGGTGATTATTGCACAACTCTGAATTTACTCAAAATCATTGAATTAAATGAGTGCATTTTGCAATGTATGAATTGTATGTCATGAAAAAAGATAAAAATTACTGTGTAGAGTACTGAAGGTGTCTAGAAAGTCCTTAGCTTAAATGTTTGAGGATTTTGCAGACTCAAAAAGATAATTAAATTATAGGTCCTCTTGGTGTTATTTTTTACCTCAGGAAATTTTAGCCAGTGTCATGATTAAGAACCTGGATACTGGAGAAGAAATACCTTTGAGTCTTGCGGAAGAGAAACTGCCAACAGGTATTAATCCTCTCACTCTACACATCATGAGAAGGACGAAGGAATATGTAAGGTATGGCCTATTGTTATTCTTTATCATTCGTAGTATTTTAGAGTGGTGAAGATTTCTCTGTTTATGAACGGTAACAGTCCCTAATTTGGTTTCATTCAGTCTTCTTTTTTTAAATATGGAATTGAAATAGAGTTAGTTAATGTATGTATTCTTCAACATTATTCTCTCTTAAGACCATACAGTTACTTGGGGAAAATAGTATATATCTGAAATCTCATAGTATTTTGTTTTTCTTTTAAAAAGATTTATATAATACTAGAGACATTAGTGAAACATATTGAGGGTAAAAAGCCATGTGCAATGAAGATCTGGTTTCTGAAACCTTGCTTTAAGGACCACAGATTTTATAAGTATTATCTTATAATACTTATTATCTACTTATAGTACATATTACCTTTGTAGGTCAGAAAATGGCTTTAGAGTGAGGTGATTGACTTTACTGTGAGATGTATGTAGATCGAAGAAGTGATTATTGTGAAAGCAAATCTCAATAAAGTGTAATACATGATGTACCTGAAGAGCGAAGAGGTAGTTAATTTGTCATTTCTGTGCAGCACGTTTTGTCCAACAAAAAGCCTTGTTGGTAGTAGGTTTTCCATAAGTTCCTAAATTGCTTTCACTTACATTTTGTACGTTACACCATGCTTAAAGATTCTATTCTTTGATCTCTCAAGTCTTACATTCTGAGGATCATCAATAAAAGTAAGCTTATATAGAACACTACATTAAAAACTAATGATGTAATATATGGTGGTTAACATAATAAAAAATTAAAAAAAATAAAAGTAAACTTATATAAAGTATGTTAACATAGTTTTATTCTGAGTACCTGAGTATATAGTATACATGGATTGTTGAGAGGTGTAGGGGAAATGGCTTCTTTTAAAATGACTTCTTCCCCTTCTTGTAGTAATGACGCGGCACAGTCAGATGATGAAGAGAAGTTACAGTCTCAGACAACAGATACTGATGGTGGAAGGTTAAAACAGAAAACGTGAGTTACAGTACATCTCCTTTATTTCAAGCTTTTTAAAAAATACGAGAATTTGGGGCGCCTGGGTGGCTCAGTCGTTAAGCATCTGCCTTCAGCTCAGGTCATGATCCCAACTCCTGGGATCGAGCCCCACATCGGGGGCTCCCTGCTCCACGGGAAGCCTGCTTCTCCATCTCCCACTCCTCCTGCTTGTGTTCCCTCTCTCGCTGTCTCTCTTTCTGTCAAATAAATGAATAAATAAAATCTTTAAAAAATAATAATAATTTTGGTTTTTTGTATTTGTGGTAAGGACTCAACTAAAGAAGTTCTTAGGAAAATCAGTAAAGAGAGCAAAGCACCTTGCAGAAGAATATGGTGAACGTGCTGTGAATAAAGTTAAAAGTGTTAGAGACGAAGGTAAGTGAAATAGAACATTGCAAATGAATATTTAATTGATTTGTAATCATCCAAATTTAGCCTATGATTTATAAGAAGCATTCTGTTTTATTGAAAGAAACCTTTGTAGCAGACATCTTAGCAGTTCAATAAATCATGTTATTCCAGGTATCACTTAATTTTATGAGCAGAAAGAAAAATAAATTTGTTCATATTAAACATGAATTTGTACATATTTTGTAACTGGCAACCTAGAAGAGATGAGTGTTCATTAATCAATTGTAAATTAGTTTTATAAGTTTATTTAGTTTTTATAAATAGTTTCAAAATTTGGAAAACTTTCTAAATTTTACAGATCTTAACTTTCTGTGCCTTTGTTGTAATTGTACTCATTTATTTTATTTAATAAGCACTAATACAGTAGTTATTTTGTGCCAGACACTCTTCTAAGCACTTGGACCTGTATTCATTCATTTAACCTTCATAAAAACCCTGTGAGGTAAGTACTGTTATTATCTCCATTTTATAGATGAGAAAACCAAGGCACAAAAAGGTCCAGTGCTTTGGCTATGGACACACAGACAATAAATGACAGCTGGATTTGGACCCAGACAATCTGGCACCAGATCCCGTGCTCTTAACCAATATGCTATTTAGTAATAGCTATGCTTTTCCATTTAATAAATTTTCTTGGTAAACAGTAGAATGAAAATCTGATAGTAGCTTTATCTACATTAGCTAGTGATGATTTCTATATTGCTTTTCTATTCAGTGTTTCATACTGATCAAGATGATCCTTCATCAAGTGATGATGAAGGAATGCCATATACAAGACCAGTCAAATTCAAAGCAGCGCATGGTTTCAAAGGACCTTATGATTTTGATCAGATAAAAGTGGTGCAAGATCTTAGTGGTGAGCATATGGTAAGCAACCTTTATATTTTTCAGGATTGTTTTCATTGAGAGAAGTACTTTGGCTTGTACACAGCCAATCTCTTATGTATATAATTTTGCTAACCTGATTCAAGAAGAGTAAATTAATATTAATAATGGTTTAATGCCTAGGTAATGCAGAGTCTGTCTCTGGATTATTTTTCAAGAACTGAAAGGTTTTTAAAATTTTTATTTAAATTTAACATGCTGTGCAGTATTGGTTTCAGGAGTAGAATTCATTGATTCATCACTTATATACAACACCCAGTGCTCATCACAGCAAGTGCCCTCCTTAATATACCCATCACTCATCTAGCCCATCCCCCTCCACCTCCCTCCATCAACCTTCAATTTGTTCTCTATCGTTAAGAGTCTCTTATGGTTTGGGGCACCTGGGTGGCTCAGTCAGTTGAGCGTATGACTCTTGATTTCAGCTCAGGTCATAATCTCGGGGTTTTGGGATCGAGTCCCTCACAGGGCTTTGTGCTCAGTGGGGAGTCTGCCTGAGATTCTCTGTTTCCCTCTCCCTCAGCCCCTCCCTACACTCATGTGCTCTCTCTCTCTCTCTCTCTCAAATGAATGGATAAATCCTTAAAAA